AGTGCTCCTCCCGCACAGTGAGCGAGTCCTCCACAGCCATTCTAGATGAGCTGCAGACTTGTAGCTATGATACTACTGACCGCTCTGAAACACCTTCCCCAACCTTGAGCCAGATGTCTGCTGTGTCAGATGGCACCACCTTAACCAACACTGCTGCCACTTCTCATGTAATTATGCTTCCTTTTTTCCTCCTCCATTTTGTTCAAACAGGTTGTCAAAGGGGAACAGAATTCGACCCGTTCTGTTATCCCATTACACACACAAGTATTTTATTAGTCATTTTCCATGGTCATGGTCTGACAGTGTTTTGTAATAGTTGTTAAAAAAGAAAAAAAAATATCATTGACATAGCAGATTTGGGAGTAGGAAATGATTGTTGCACAGTTGCACAGCGTGGTCAGCTAAGGTGTATCAATCACTTTGCTTAAAAGAAAATAATTCAAGAAATACTTGTTCCAAATGTATTAAAAGCAGGCATTCCGTGGAGTTTGAAGAGACTTTTTTAAGATATTGTTAACAGTTTACAGGTTTTTGGAGTATGGACTACCACCATTTTTGATTTCACTGAGATGCAGATTTCAATAATGTAATTTTTAAATTCACAGTAAATGTTGGCAGTATTTAATGCAGTTTTTTCCCCCAGCCATGACGATTGACTGCACAAAACTGGTTTTCTCTCCTCTAATTAACCTTTTCCTCTCCTAAGCACAGTTTCTTATAGGACTGAACTGCATAAATAATCTTGAATTATTCAAGTGTCCCATTACTTTTCTCTTAGTTAAGTCAAGGGAAAAAACAGTACGCAGTTAGACACTTTCTACATACATCCATTTTTCAGTACCTTAGTTTACTTACATATGGGGAGAAAGAAGGTATGGAATCTGGGTCAAACCCAGATCACTTCTGATTTCTTTTGAGATTATCCACATGGTTAAAATGAGTCAGAACAAAGCCTTCATTTAAATTGAGCAATTCATTGCTGAATTGCAAAACAGAGAGATGTTCTGAATCCAAAGTTTTACTGGGTCACAGGAGTGTTCTAACTTTATACAAATACTTTAGCATACAGTAATTTTCAAGCCTGAAAAAAACAAACTGTATATATATTTTTTAAGTTTTGTGTATAATTTATAAAAGGTATTTTGAGTCCAACCTTGCTCATAGTCACCTTGGAAAGACAATGATTGGCTGTCATTGCTCTGGATGCTGCTAAAAAATAATATTAACAGCAGGCATGTAAAAGCTGTAATTCGTAACTTCTGTCACACAGCTCGGAAAGTTTTGGGTTTTTTTAAAGAATCATTACTGTGAATCTGCATACAACACAGTACTTGTAGCCAAAGATACCATAATCAGTATAGACTGGTCAGACAGAGTCACTACCTGACCATTTGCTAGCTATGGGAAGCATGGAATGTTTCTATTTTCTTATAGCCTACTTCTAAAATTGTCAGCTAACTGTATTTGTTTTCTTTGGGCACCATTTTTTGCAAGCTAAAGTGAACAGTTTTTCTTTCCTATTTTTGGGCTAGTGTCCCAGTAGAAGGCTATGTAATAGTCAAGTCTGACCACCACTTTCTCTTTTAGACATGGCAGGGAGGAGCGTAATGTTTGTTCACCATTAATGAACAAAGCAAAATGAAGAGACACTCACCTAAGGACAAAAGTCCCCAAGGAGTCCTAAGAGCCCCACAGAAATTAAACTGCTGGCAAAACCCAGCTCTGCAGTATAGAAAAGACATCATCTCCCACTCTCTGCAGAGAAGGGCCAGATGGCTAAAAATGCATCCATGAAATGACAAAACGATGGGGAAGCTGGTGGCACACACACGTGTTATTAGTGGTTCTAATCCTGGAATGATCTTCATTCTCAGATTGCTGTTGATTTTGTCAGTGAAAAACACTGGGATAAAAGTAATATAGGATTGGGCCATCCACCACTCTACCTGCGTAAGATATAACCATGCTTTAAAGTCCATTTTGGGGATGTTTGTTCATTTTTGAGGGACTTAATGAGACTAGACAAAAAAGTTGTAAAACTAATTCTAAGAAGAAGCATCAGCATCAGCAAGAGCTGAGTAAGCAAAACTGACAAATATTTGAGGCAAAAGGCAGACCTAAAGGTAAAACTGTGGCAATATTTATTTGGGCTTATGCTTAGAATTGGAGTCAAAATTAGAGAACAGCTGGTTTTGGAAACTGTTTTTTTCTGATTGTATTTCAGTTATGAACATTTTCCCTATAAAATAATTTGAGGGGGGGTGGTTTTTTTTATGTACTTTGAAATTGTAGAAACTAATGGAAACTTGGAAATGGAAGTACACTAGATTTTTGCTTTTTCCCGAGTTCCATGACTGTCTTGAGCTTCAGTTGATTCTGGGTATTTTAATGTATTTCAGTGTCTTGAGGTCAGGTGTGTGCTGTGCAGCATTCTTGCAAAGGACTGCTCAGACATCCATAACTCTTCTCCCTGTCTCAGCAGAGAGAAAGTCAGAAAGCAGCTCCGGTCCCAGATGGATGCCTTCTTCTGTCCTGATTCAGAAATCCTGAGAGCTACTCTTTCCGATGCTAAGGCAAATTAGAGAATTTTAAACCTGATACCTCGTAGGAATTTTTACAAGATCTTGATTATCTTGCTGCAGAAGTAGGTGGCTCTAGTTGCAGTGGAGGACAGGTTAAGTATACTGGAGAAAAAAAATTAATAGAGGCTGCTAGGGAAGGGAACATCATGAAAAATTATTATTTTCCCAGTAAATTGGAAAATAGGTGCATTTTGATTGAATGGGGTTTTTTCCCATATTGTCTTCTTTTCCCACAAAGATGACCTAGGAAAGCAACATGTCTAATTCATGAATAGGCATCTTAAAGGATATCACTTCCTTGTAAAATCTGAGAATAAACTCTGTCGCCTGGACCTAAAGTGTCACATTCTCAGATTGAAATGTCAGTAACTACCAAATGATTCCAAGGGAAAAAAAGGCCTTTGAAACTTCATAAAACTGTCTTTTATAGCCAACCCTGTAAGCCATGCAAGGTGCATCAGATGAACAAATGAAACAGCCACCTCCACAGACACTTCCCTCAAGGAGAAAATCATTAGAATCTAAGAAATTACAGCTGAGCTGAGATTCTCCCTAAGACCTTCAGAAGCAAACCCAAAAATGTCATATATGAACATGCCACATACACATTTATGACTGATGTCCTTCAACTATTTGTGTGGGTCCTGTTTTCATTATATTTTATACTACTTAGTATAAGTGTCTTACCATCTAACTGAGCTATTTGGTGAAGTCCTTCTCAGGAATATCTCAAATTTTTATTACAGAAATTCACAGGAGTATCTTTCTAGTCTGCAAAGAACTCACACCAGTTCTTGTCAGCGAAACAAAAGCCATAGTAAATGAGTAAGAAGGTGTAAGGCTCTGCATGTAGTTGCACCTGCCTTCCCTAGAAACAAGCTTTCCCACAAAGACAATATGTAGGAAAAGAGAATGGGTGAACACCTGAAGTAGAGGAGAGATGGCTGGCCTCATTTTGAAACCTTATCTGAAAACATGCCTTTATACTTCTTGAAATGCTGTCTTTGAGCTGTGTAGCTTTTCTAGTCTTACATCTCTGAACCTGGTTTCTTTTTTGAAGGAGAGGATCACGTAGGAAAAGCCAACCTACTTTTGGTTCTAGAGTTTACCAAGAGAGGAGACATTTAAACACAAAACTTTAAATGGAGACATCACCACAACAGAAACATTTCAGCTCACTTCTGAAAACAGGCATCTACAAAATGAGAAGCCCCTGAATGCATCTAGAAGTTTATGTGATGTCTGCATAGGACCCAGAAATTGTTTTTCTTTCTTAGCTATGGGAGACCAAGATGTTAAAAATTTCAAATCAATTCAGTAATCTCCAAAGTACAAATGCATACAGAAGGTCATGAATCATTTAATTTTTATCTATAAAAATAGTATGCATTTTGATTTGGTTTTATTTATGCTTTGCTGTTTCAGGTGGTCTCTTATTTACATCTGCAGCATGTTTTATTTCATTTGTTATATAAAATTGAGCAAAGTTTGTAGTTCTTCTAATTCAGATTTAAAGAACAGTTGTGCATTAAAGGAGATATTACAGAGAGCTTGCCTTGCTTTTCTGCTGAAATAGTCACTGTCCTCTTCTTTTATTCAATGCTTTCTCAGTATCTCAGTTTTGCTTCTTTCAATACTCCCCCTGAAAGTGATACAGCCACAGTGCAGGGATTCTAAACCTGGGGGCAGATAGTTTCCTCTTGTGCAGTACCTCTGGTGACTAAAACCTAAATGGCTTTAGGTCCTGGCTGCTTAATTTCCAGTTTGCTTAGCTCTCCCATTTTTGATTTTGTTCTGTCATTTTATGGTTGTGGATTGTTGCTTTTTTAATTGGTGCTATTTATTTTTAATGTGATAGATTACATATCAGCATCCCACAGTCACTCCAGCTGGCTTCCATTTTTTAAAGAAATTTTTGTCGCTCTTTTCAGCTAGTCCTAATGAGATTTTTCCTTTCAGTCTGCACAGAAGTTCCCACTAATATCCGTAGTGCTTGACCATGTGCACTAAGGGAATATGTCTCTTGGTGTGAGGGATCTGTGGCAGACAGCCTTTGTCACACAGTGTTGGGAGCTTTTACTGCCATCTTCATTCTGTATCGCTGTCAGACATCTGCAGACCTTGTTTGTGCCATCTTCATTGCCCTGACCGTGATCTCTCTGTCACCTTCCCATGACAGCAGGTGTCACAGACAGCATACGCAAGGAGAGAGGAGGGGAGGTACAAGGAATATAAGGAACACACTCTGCTTCCTTTGTGATAAGTTTTGTGTTTCAGTGAATGCAGATGCCATTATGGCTGTGTACCTGACAACTGGTAATTGTTGTGTGGATGAGAGTCTTGCATCGCTCTTTCTTTGGGACAGCCGTCGGAGAGCTTTGTGTGTAGTTTAATGGGATATTGTTTTGTCTCTCTCAGGCTCAGATCACAGTGAATGGGAATTCTGGCACTGCTGCCAGCCCAGTGAGTCACTTTCAAAGGCCTTTTTCCCCTTCTTCAGCTTACCCTCCACCAGCTTCACTCAATTCCAACATTGTTATCATGCAGCATGGCAGGATGATGGGTAAGCCTCACACAGAATGTTTGCTTTATACATTACACAACATATTTTGATACATGTGGCAAAGACTGCAAACAATTTCAGAGTGCTCCACGCCCATAATGAAGGTATTGTCTATTCATCTACCTTGGGAAGGTAGGTGTGTGAGCCAATTTTCTACTGGTTTTACCAAGGAAAGGGTGTCTATCAAAATAGCTCAACCTGTCCAGCCCTTTCAGATTTTGCCTTAAGAAACCAAGGTCCCACTTTGTACTTTGCTCCTCCCTACAACTTCTGTAATTCTCCAGCAGAAATACTGTCAACAAAGGGAGAGGCTCTGGGCTTTTAAAAACCTAAAGCCATATCAATCTAAAATTTGTTCATGTATTTTTTTAGGGCATCTTTAATTTAAAAATTAAACACAAACCAAATACTATCACCCTTAGGCTCTTTGCCAGTATAATCCGGTTTTGCCAAGAGAATAATTTACTTGCTGCTTTTTCCACCAGTGTAGTGCATATTTAGAAAAGATTATATATGCAAAGTAACTTGAATGTGGTCCCACAGTTTATATTTTTGTTGTGCTTGCAAGGAAATTAGGCAACTGTTCTTGCTCTGAGACATCTTAGACAAATGCTGCTATCATCATAATGATAAGTACAAAAACTGTATACATGGGTTACTCCACCTCCCAGAATTCTAGGTTTTTTGATTGCTTCCAGCTTGGTGATCTAAAGATCTATCAATACTGGTTTGGATATACCTAAAATATGTATTTTCCCATGACTTTCACTCTTGTATGATGCTGAAGTTCAGTGTTCCACAGTAACAGCCTGATTTAATTCTCTTTACTCATGTAGAAGTCCCCCTGATGGCCTCAGTTTGAGGTCTGTGAAGAATGAAGGATCAAATCCAAAATGTTTTCTAAATTTAACATCACGCATTTTGGGAAAAAGTTCCAAATATTCAGACATTTGCCACACAGAGTTGCCCCTCGCCATATATGTGTAGCACTGAATTATTTACAGGATTTCAGACTTGAGTAAACAGCTGAAACAGCCATGCCAAATCCTGCACTGCAATGGGAGTGAGCAGAAATACTCAAATTAAAATTAGAGCTTTCAGTCACTGGAGCTCCTTTTGCAGGCTCATATTACAACTCCTATTTTTCTTCAGAATAATCACTGGATGTTAATGCCACATGAAAGTCAATTGTAATTGTCACCATTAGTGTTAAAACATATATTTTCACTCCCTGCATTCATTTATCCTGCAGTGGAACTGTCTCACTGTACCTGCACTTGCAAAATAGATGCTTTGTAATAACAGCCCACTAATTTACTGAAACCTGCTGCTGAAGGAGTAGGGCTCTTTTTCCTTTATACAGGAAAGAGTGTATTGTCTGCAGAAATAAAAATTTTCATGTCACATCCCAGCACTGAGGTGTTTTGTGTTAAGTAAAATAGTCTGCATTTTAGAAGGAAATGGTGATGTATTAATTTCATTAGTTATAAAGGAAGATTTGAGAGGGAAGGATAGAAATATTGCAAGTCACTACAAAACAGTAGCAGCTTACACATTTCACCTGAGTTACTGTAGGTGGATCATCAGGTTGTTCTGCAGGTGCCAGGTTACCAAAAACCATTTTTATGGATTATATGTGGAGTCATATAAACAGATCAACACATGTTAAGGGAAGAACACTTTATGTTAGAAATTTTTTCTTAAAAATATTCATGCATCAACACTTCATGTTTCTTGGCATATATGACATAAGTTTTTATGCAAGGCTGTTTGCTGTGCTTACAGAACAGCAATTTTCTATAGTTTGCTAGACTTGCAAGTGGGTGCAAGTTTTGAAATTATGTCACTGGTTTCCAAGGAATGAGTAGAAAAGGTGCAAAAGTTTGATTTATAGGAGAAAGGCTGATGCCCCTTTCTCAATAGATTTTGCTATGTTTGTGGAGTTTTTTCTCTTTTTATTGAGCAAGGCATTGTGAAAAAGTACTTCTACTCTAATTCTGACTTCAATAGCTTGTCTGGTCCTTAAATAAGTTTATAATTCTGGTAATGTAACATTAAGTAGGGCAAATCCCTAGTTAAGATATTTCTTTAAAATAATGTATATATATATGATTAAGATTGTCAGCCTTTGTACAGTGTAGTGAAATAGGGAAGTGTGTTTTAACTGCCAAGTATGATTACTGTGTCATTACACAATTTTCTGTCATGTTATCTTTACAGAGTCCACAGAGACATACTCACAACATGTTCAGAATGTTGGCAGCACCACCACCACCAGTACAATACCAATCTGTAGATCCTCAGAAGAAGAAAAAAAAATTACAGTAATTAAAGCACCACATTATGCAGGGATTGGCCCGGTAGATGAATCTGGAATCCCTACAGCAATTAGAACGGTAGGAAATTCTGGGAAATCTGTGTATGAACTCATACAATGAACTGATTGTTGGTAATGGGTTTTTCACATTCTTCTACTCTTATATAATTTGGAATAGAGCGTGCGTAATCAGCAGCCTTGTGAATATAATATTGTGTGTTGACGAAAAGGAGAATGCTGATGGGAGCATAATTGGGCAACCTCATGTTTCTAGTTTTAATTAGAAGTAGCCAAAATTTTGTGTCTTTCTTGTGTCTCTTGTAGTTCTTGCCTTTTGGAGATGCACAGTAATTGCATTTGGTTTATCTCTGAAATAAAGTTTATTCATGCTACATATATACGTGTGTGTGTGTGTGTGTGTGTGTGCTTGCAAATATTTGTGTATACGTCTGTGTGTGCATACATGTAAAAATCTTACATTTCTGCATTTCTTGGGGCAGCGTTCTCATGTCATCAGGGTAGCATAGAAATGCATAGTTCTGTTCTGATGGCAGTCTAAGGGAGTAGCATTTTCATGGCAGTGCAGTAAATAATCGTTGTGCCCTTGAGTGACACGTAAGCAAATAGCTGGGGAGCCTTTTCATTGTGACCAGCCCAGTTTTGATCATCTGCCGCTGGTCACTGCTTGAGTGGTCCCAGGATGTCAAACTGAAGAGTTTTGTTTTCACTATGCTGAAGCATTCTTTCCACTCTGCTGTCAGGGCAGCCTCTTCTGGCTGCTCCAGAGAGCACAGAGGCAGCTGCACTAGGTCTGTAAAGGCAGCACTTACTGGCCTTTCCAGCCAGAGAAGAACTGCTGTGCTGGACGGAGAAAGTGAGAAGAGTGGGAGCCAGGATGAAAGCGGCAGAGCCATTGCAGGTGAAGTCCTAGTGAGGTGCAGGGATGTAGCAGCTGTTGGATATATCCTGTCTGCCAATCCTGACATATGGGGCTATGTTGTATTGCCAAGAATTGCTTCAAGGGACTGAAAAAATAGAGGGGAAACCAGGAATTAATGGAAAAAATCAATAGGAAAAAATCAGGATAAGTGGTAAGATGGGGACAGTTTTTATAAGAATGGGGGAGAAACTCTGGCATTTCTTGCTTTATTTTTGACATAAAAAGTAATACAATCAGAATATCTTAAAAATTAAGACATTTCTTTGCAGCAATGCTCTGGGTTCCTGTCCTCTTTTTTAGTAAGTAGTCCCTTTGCTTTATATTAGATATAGTAATTGGTTTCGTGCTTTTTTAGTAGCAGATTGTTCTAATAGGGTGCATATCAGTTATATAAGATTATAACAGAAATCCCCCTTAAGTGTGCCTAATGAAGCTGGCAATCTGCCAAACTATATTTAACTTTCAGGTTGTATGATCTGAGTCATTCAGATTTTCTCCTAAAATGTAATTCAGTTTGAATTAGGACATTTTCCTGATGGTTTTGCTCTGTTTTTTGTTGTGTTTCAATTTCAAGAAATCTTACACCTTGTAATCTTAGTATTATAGAAATAATTCTCGCAATGAGATATAAGTTAAAACTTTATGCTAGTGTGTGTATGTGTAAGAGTGTCTCTGATGTGCCATTTGGCATCCTTATTCTGCTTCCTTAAGACATAGCTGGTAGCAAAATTGTTTTCAAGATACTTATTTGAGATTAATTTATAAGTGGGTACAAGTATATTTGAGCCCTGTGTACCCCAGCTGAGCAAGAACAAAGTTGGTATAGTTGTCAGCAAAAGACTCAAATATGCTGCACCTTGCAAAAGTGCTAAAATTGCATTTTCCAATAACAGTAGAAGGTAGAGTATATCACCTGCCCCTTCTCCGAGGTCAGTGAGCAATCCAAATAGGAATCTTCTCCCAGAAGGTTCATCCTTAGTCCATCTGAAGAGAGAAGTTTTCAAATTAGTTCAATTTATCATTGCTTGTAAAGTTTAGAAGTTTCTTATTCTTCCAAAAATGGCAACAGTCTATCAAAAAAGCAGTAAATGAGGATTCAGGGGTAATTGGACTGTGTTCCAAAATGCTGTGCTGCTCAAAGTCTAGCATGTCACTCAGAGCTCGGGAGTATCTGTGTTCCAGATTTTGCATGCTTCTCAGGGGTAAAGAGGCTTTGCAGAATGTGATTGTCTCCTCCAAATCTGTCTTTACTCTCAGATCACCTCTGTTTATTGAAGGAAAACAGAAAGATGTTTTCTTTCTATTCCTGCTAACCCAATCTGTCTCAGGCTTCTGAGAAGGGAAGGACTCATACAAAGCTTTTTATTCACTCAAACCCCCCATCCCACGTTAGCAGGCTCTTTCTATGCCACTTTAGCTCCTTCTAGTTTGGGAAGTGCAAGCTGAAAATTCAGATTGTTGTTAGGTTCTGCCTTTGTGCCAAGCCCTGACCCAAAGATGGTCAAATTCCAAGTCACTAAAAATGAACTCTCTGAAAAAGAGAGGGTAAAATGCTGTTCACTCAGAAAAGCATTCAGTCAAATACAGCACCATTTACCACCGATGGGGACCTGGGAAAGGAAAAGCCAGATTCATGAAAAGCGATAAAATTGCACTGTTTTAATCTATCCAAAATGATTGCTTTATATCTAATGATCAAAATTAATCTGTAGACTGAAAAGGCCTCTACTTAGTAAAAATGAAAAAAAAAAAATAAATCAAGTCCTTCTACGTTTCTTTTCCATACTTAGTGATGTAATATTTCAGCTCAAAAAAAAAATAATAAAAGCCAAAAAGCCAGAGGTCCACTAGAAGTGGCAGAATATTCCGAGTTGGAAGGGACCCACAAGGATCATCAAGTCCAACTCTTAAGTGAATAGCCCATATGGGGATCCAAGCATTACTAGCACCCTGTTCGCACCAGCTGAGCTAAACTCCAGGTCAGAGAGGCCTCCTTTAATTGCATACTTCCTTGTGGATGATTACAATACTGCAGTGATTATGGACTCTCCTAAGCAATTGCAGTTACTTCTCATGTCCTTTATGTGCTATTTGGCTGATTGGATTTTTTTTCACATACGAAGATACCATGTTCCAACGTTTAACTGCATCAGCTATAATATATGCAAAGGAGGATGGCATCTGAATGGCTTCATGCGTTGTGAATACTGTTAATTCCTCAAACAATGTTGGTGTGTGGGATTAGTGAATATAAATTGAGAAAATGTATTTCAAAATTAATATTTTGAGTATTCTATTTCTTAATCCTATCTGGTTTATAACTTAAAGCCAAGTTATTGGCTGAGGCTTGAAACCACTAGGAAGGGTTTGCTGGGGAAATGATGAGAGAAAGAAACATTCAAATGTCCAGAAAGATGTTGGGAAACATTCTTCTCTACTCATGTGGGAGCTTCTCCATACCTGAGCTCTATGTGGGAGCCTCCTTTGACTTTGTGGAGGACCAGGCAATGCTTGACAAACAACAGGGAGGTAGCAGTAGTATTTATGCATTATTTGCAGTGTGTTCACCTACCACTTGTTGGAAGCCTGTTCTTGGTTCAATACAATCAGAAAGGCAGTTGCAATATCATGTGAATGTTACTGTGGGAAATGAGGAGGAGCAGGGAGGTTATGCCCTGCTAGTGTGAATTCCCTCAGACCTCCTGAAATTGTAAATTTTTGGGTATATATGACCCTGGAGCACAAAACAACGTACTTGTTTCAAGTCCAGCTAAATTATTCTAACCAGAGTCCCAGTAGTATGGATATTTAATACCTTTTGGGAAACAATATTAAAATTACTCAAATCTGCTTCTGAGTAACTTACACTTGGCAGAACTCAGCAGTATTGGTAGGTGGGGGAAGAGACCCATCTTATCTTAAGACAAAAGTGAATCTCCTTTATCTCTGTCCTGCAAGCAGGCCTAGGTAAAAAGAATAACTCTATTTAATTGTTTTCTTACCCAGGGGATCCCCAAGTTCTTAAACTGACTGTCAGCTCTTATTTTAAACATTGCTGTAATATTATTTAGTAACAATTTTATGAGAAGTCAGTATGAGTCCTCAGAATACAGTAGCATTTCTGCCTAGTCCCTTATACTAAGAGCTCACCATTGTAAACAAAACGTATTTGTTATGTACAGATAACAAGTAATCATGGCAAAGGTGTGATTTAGTAAAGATGGCAGTGTGTGGTGAACAACACAAATCTGTCTAGTAGTCTGTAGGGAAGAATTTGTAGATTTTTTCTTTTTGTGGTAAAGAGGAGTAAGCAAAGTGATTGCAAATTTGGTATTAGCTGGTGCAAGATAATCACTCCAAGAGGGGGCCCTTGAATTTCTCTGTGTACCATGAGGTTTAATATGGTGGGTTTTTTGGTTGCCCAGAGAAGCTGTGAATGCCCCATCCCTGGAGGTGTTCAAGGCCACTCCGGTTGGAGCTCCAAGAGACCTGGCCTTGTGAAAGTTGTCCTTGTCCATGGGAGAGATGTTAGAGCTTGATTATCTTTAAGGTCCCTTTCAACCCAGGCCATTCTATGATTCCATGATTCTTTGCATTACAACTCCTGGTTTTCTGACTACTGTGGGACAAGTAAAATATTAGCACCTAAGGATAATACTGAAAACATGTTTGCCTTTGCGTTAATAATTTTCTGAAATAATATCATCCCACCTCAAAGAAAATTGAAGCAAAAGAGAAAATTCAGAAGGGTAAGAGATAAAAGAAGCACAAAAAGGTGTCGATATGAGCAGAGTTTGGGAGCCTTGGGATTACTTAGTTTGCAAAAATAAGGATAATTTAATGAGTAATGTTAAAATAAAGTTATCCGGAAAGGGCTTTTAAAACTGGTTAAAAGAATACTCTTTGTTTACAAATCCAGATATTAACTCTGAAATATAGTGTGGTCCTAGTTCTTTCCTCAGTAGTATTACAAAGTTTTTCTGCATTATTTAACAATTACATTTTGAAAGTATTTTAAGCTGGAAATTGCCAGGAGGTCCAAAGAAGCTCTTCTTACATGCTTGTAATCATAACTGCCGAGGTGTTTCTGTTTTCGTGTGAAGAATCTAGCATTCATCATTGTCAGATATGGGGCACTAAGATGATGAACTGTTGATCTCACAATAATTCCTATGTTCTGAACCATTACACCCTCCCAAGATCAGAGTCCAAGACTGACTCAGTCTTCAGTGTCTTCCAGAATTTGTTACAGGGATGCATAAATACATTCAAAATACATGAAAATTATTACAGTAAATAATAACATGTAATATTTCTGTCCAGAATAACATTAAATGTCTAATCCCATCTATACACATGGGTATTTTTATTTTGTCATTAATTGTCAAAACTATATTTTTCTAGACAGTTGACAGGCCAAAGGATTGGTACAAGACAATGTTCAAGCAAATCCATATGGTTCATAAGCCTGGTGAGTATGTTCTTATCTTTGTCTCCTCATGTCCAGTTTGAGGGATGAGAAATTGTCTACTGCAAATCTTCTACCATCTGTACTGCCTTTCTTTTGGAGAACTCCACTGTTAAAACAGTGTGGGCTAGTAAACAGGCAGGTTTAAGGACAAATTCTGTGCTTGAGTTTCATTGTTGTCATAGAATATCTTACTTGGTTTTGCTGAAACAGAGCTTTGGTGACATTGCTAGCTTTAATGTCCTTTATGATTTGCCCCAAGGATGTCAGGAAACTGTATAAATGGAAACGATTCTCATTGCACCTCCAGAAGGAAGGAGACTTTATTCATCTGAGGTAGAGCTAACATTCAGTATGGTCACACAGAATGTTAGTGGGAGAATAAGAAATGTAGGCAGCAGAATATTGGCTTACAAGCTCTATTTTGAGCACTAGTCACATAGTAGATATACTGGATTTGTGATAGGAACAACAACTTAACAGTCTGTAGCAGAGAAAAGCTGACGAAAGGAAGGAATCAAGCTTGGGGAGGGGAAAAAAACAGACAAAAAGTAATCTGCAGTTCAGTGCTTATTTCTTAAGTATGCAATATGAGTGATGTGACCAGAAGATACAATACAATATAGATGTAAGATGGTAAATACAGCCTAAGTATAATGGGAAGATGGAGTCATCCAAAAGCACCTATGAGACAAGGAAAAGAAATACAGTGCTTGATTGCCTATCAGTCTGCTATTTGTATTTGCGAAAACAAAGCTCAGTTTCTGTGATGAACTGGCACGTATGGCACTACTGTAACACATGCATTTCTTTTTGTAGATGACGACACAGACTTGTATAATACTGCATATGCATACAATACTGGTAGGAATTGTTCCATGTTCAAAATGACGCTTTTGTTAATGTCAGCAAGTAATGGTGTAGTTAACTGTTCACGCTCGCTTTTATAAAGCTTGTAGACACACTTTATTGTCGTTTGATCTCAGTTGTTCGTGCCTTTTTCCCCCAAATGAAACAAGTTTAATTTTTGTTTCATTCTTGCAACAGAAATTAATTGCAGCTGTGGACCTCTTACTGTAGAGGGATATACTTAGCACTGTGGTTACTTGATTACATTGCATTTATTTTCACTAGTGATTGTTAGTAACGCAGCCTTTCCTTATAGAAATGGAAAGGGAACTACTGTTTGAAAATGAAAATACTAATTACTGACATGGAAAGATAAAAAGAATGTACTGAATACACTTTAAAAATATGCAGCAAGAATGCCTAATAAAACTGATTGTTTTTCAAACTTGGCCATTTTTGCTATAGGCATTCATGTTAACGTTATTTAGACACAAGAAAAGGCATATTTATCTAAGATATATAATTATTGTGTCTTAAGAAGATTATACCCATATAGTAAAATTATTTCCAAAAAAAAAAAGCAAAAATGAAAGCATGAATAGACTATGTGCAAAAAAGGCCACAGTGCCTTCTGCAAAACTGCCATTCAAAATTTTTTTATTTCAGTTTTTGGTGCATTAAACATGCTCTCAATCATGCCTTTTTCTGTGCTGTTCAGAAGATTTGTTGTGGGTCAGTGGTTTGGCATCTCTTTGTACCCTTGTGATCCTCTTCAAGATAGGCTATTGCCTCATCATCACAAACCAACTAGCTATTAAAACAATGAAAAAAGGTGTGTTTCCTGCCTCTTCTCTACCTTCTGAACATGGAATGACTGAGCAACAGGATGTGCCTGGAGATTAATTACAGGCTGTCATTAACAGATGTGATGGATTTATACACCCATTAACTTCTCCATCAAATTAATTTCTTTTAATTGTACTGCACTTTATCTGTGTGTTTGTAATTTTGTGTAAAAATATATAAGAAGTTCTCTAATGAGCTACGTAATATGCAGCAATGTACTTTTAAAACTCATTTTCACATTTTTGTAATCTTGCCGCTTCATTGAGTTACTGTGGGTTCTTGTGGCATTCCATGTTGTGGTTTTTTAAGAGTAAGTCTTAAACAACTGTTACTGATTTTGTTTCATATTAGGTAGCTACAGTCCATCCTTCTCTGCTCAGGCACACCCCGCTGCAAAGACACAGACGTACAGACCACTGTCCAAAAGCGCTTCTGACAGTAGCTCCGATGCCTTTAAGGTCTCGTCCCCTCTGCCACCCCATGTGCCACCACCGGTACCACCACATCGTATGCGCCAACGGTCTACACCAGAAAAGTAAGTCAGTGCATTTTTGCACGGTGTTCTTGCTATGTACAGTATTCCAGTTGCAGAATATAACAGAGGATGAAATAGCAGCTCTAGAATAATATGACTTCAAGGGCTTTATTCAAGGGCCAGTCAGATGATGAGGGGTGATTTTCACCAGGAGTCTGTGCATTATGCATGGTCCTGTCATTTCTTCAGTGTGCTAAAGACGTGTTTATTCTTATTCATGATGCAACCATAAGCATTAAGGATTTTTATTCTCATTAGTGGTATTGTCCTGCTTCTTGTGTTTCAGAACAGTCTGTGCTCTAGGAGCTGTCTTCAATAGTCTCTGAGTAGGAAAGGCCATTCGTTGTATCCAGCACCAAAGAGAAAGGATCAAAAAGATGATGTAATTCTAAATTCAAGGGAGAGGAAAACTGTACAAGAGTGTAGCAGTTAACCCACATTTCCCCAGAGCTTAGAAGTACTTTATACCTCCATTTTTTCAATCTTCATTTTGGTAGACCAAGATAGTGTTTACAGATTAAAGAGGCATTTCAGATATCTCACAGTTTTCTGTCCAATTTCTCTGCACAAAACCAGCTCCCATTGGTTAGAGCCCAGTCTGGAAGAAGTTAGTAATGAATAACTCAGGAAATAAGTTCTTATCCTTGTGATAAAACCATGCAATAGACCTGCACACAAATTCTGTTGACTTCAGCATATCTGTAGGTACTGGCTAAGCAAAAATCTTTTTCTTTACTGTTTACATTAAGTACTACAACACGTTAATATAATATTATGCTATTATAAATCTATATGTGTGGGGGTATGTATATATTCTATATTAAAAGGGTAATATTTTTCCCTTTCATCTGTGCCTACAAGCTCCCCTCTTGGTTACACTCAAGCAACAAAAGAGAATTTGACCATTTTTGTCAGTTTGGACATTGCAGACATATTTATATGAAGAAATTTAATTATATTTAACAGTTTCAAGTAATTAGCAGATTGAATAAAATATTGTGAGGAAAGACCATACTAAGTGTTTAGAATTAAGACACAACTATGGCTTTTTGAAAAATTTGTAGGTAGTGGCAATCCAAAACGTAATTCTGTAGATACACATAGTGCAGAGGAAGATGGGATTGCTTGATGGTTACTGATTTTAGCTTTCCTGTTGCCAAGGACAGATTGTCAAGAGGAAATCTAAAGGTTAGAGCTGGTCTGCCTCACAGAGGCCATGAGGCTTGAATTTTGTTTGCAGGTCATACAGAAGTGCAGACTTTTTTAGCAAGACACCAAAATGTGGCACTGTTTAGCTTTGATCTCTGAAGTTGTGTGAGTTTTTGTCCTGTGCTTAGGCCAAATGCCTCAGTCACAGAAACTGAGGCCTGTTACAGTTCCTTTTGTCAAACTTAGAAACAACTGCTCAGCACTGAATTTGTCTATTTAACCTCTGCTTTTAATCTCCCACATGATACAACAGGCAGTGGAAATCTGTGTTCTCCAGGCCAAGGGATGCCAAACATGTTAGTTATGCTTTGCCCACTGCTGAAAGCTATAGCTTGTCAATCTTTTCCTGCCATTGGGAGATTCTTTTTTTAATTGCCTATAAAGCCAGAGTATTTTAAAATCTCACATAAGAGGCTTAGGTCCACATATATCATGTTTCATAGCTGAGAGGCAAGATATGGTTTGCATTAGCAGCTGAGCTCAAAATATAGTCCATACAGGATAAAAACCTGAAAACTGTAAATTAGTTGAACCGAGCATGAATCAGAATTTCAATAGCATCCTTCTTTCTTCAGTGGCTTGCAGTATACTGCAACTTCATCAGAATATTTCCATTTTCCGGTTCATTCTCAAAAAATGCAACCTTTTCTGCTCTGAAAACAATTTTTTCCTCAGTGAAAATAAACAATAAAGCCATGTAGAACTACTTCCCTTGAAATGTAGGGTATTTTATAAATAGAGGCGTCTGTGTCACTGAAATGCACTTGCAAGCATTACTATAAACAAAAGCTACCCCATAGATTTTTTTAAGGCACATGACATGTGCATTATTATGTCAGGTCACATCAAACCAAGTCACACCAGATAAAATTTAATCAGTGTATGCTCTTTCTTATCATAAATACAGACAATAGATGGTAGTATTTCCCCTTCCCTTTCCTCCAACCTTTGAGTTACTAGTGTGTCATTTTACACAAGAGTTAAATAAAAATATGTATGAGCTACGGTTTTATACAGCAAAACACTGGGATGCCAAGCTAGATGTTCCACAGCTGAGATCTGGAAAGATTTGCTGTTCTGAACATCATTTGGCTTTGCAGGTTTCTGTTGTACAGAGCTGTAAAGCACAAGGTGATGACAGTAAATTAGCTCAGTTGCTTGTATTTGCTGTTTAGGAATGACTGGGATCCTCCTGACAGAAAGGTAGATACTCGCAAGTTCCGTTCTGAACCAAGAAGTATTTTTGAATATGAGCCGGGAAAGTCATCGATCCTTGAACACGAAAGACCGGTAAGACACGTAAATGAAATGGGTAATACAGTAAGAGATTTGGTAAGGGGTTATCTGTTTACTATTATTAATAACTACTTAGAGGAATATTGAAGATCCTTTTTACAATACAATTTTGCAGAAATTTGTGTTTGTTCTTATCTGATGATTGTATTGAAAAATGGGGTTTGGCTTATTTACTCAACTTACATCTTGCAGTGTTTGCAAGAAATCACCACTGTGCAAACCTCATGGATGATAGGCAGAACAGATGGAAGCTGGTTTTTCTAACTGGTGTGCATCTACAACACTTACTTTCAGTAGTATTAACAGCACATATGATATCTGATTAATTAATGCATAAATAAAATATTTGCATTTTCAGGATCTGCTGAATTGTATATCTAAGGAGATTGTGGTCAAATATTGGCCAAGGTTGCCCAGACTGGACTTGCCTGAACACAGCCCTGAGCAACCTGATATGATTAGAGCTTTAGCAGGAGGTTGGGCTGAATGACCTCTGGGGGTCCTTTCTAGCCCCAAATGCTCTGTGATTTGAGTGAGTGTACATTATGAATGAGTGTACCTTAACATGTAATTAGAAGTTTTTATTCCTGCTTTCTGAATAATGATTGTAATTTTGGAATAAAGCTGTGCTTAATGCTTGCAAAATGACAATTCACGGAAGTTTTCATTTGCTGAAAGACACGTTCACCCGGCCCTTCCAATTTAGCTTTGTACTATCTTAACATTTTCTTATTTTAGGAAAGATGTCATGGCATATTTTCTTTTCTTGGTCTTTTACTTTAAGGTTGAAATGTTTGAGGGAGTCCAGGTTTAAAGAAGAGGTTTATGAAATCAGTACTGGATTGCTATTTACTTCTGTATTATATGCTTGTTCACAGAATTTATTTTGCCAATTTAAAGCAAATTAAGGAAATAACTGAATTTCCAAATACGCAATATATCAACAGTGGAACACCTGAACCAAGTACCTCTTCCTTTGTTTTTGTGGTCTTTGCAGGAATCTAATTTTTGTTAGCTAGAAAACACGAAGCTCTTTTTCTGTGAAATTGAGTTCTTGCCAAACTGATGTGCTTCTCAAAGAAGAAATTGGCATTTCTGTAGGAACCAATCAGTTCCTACAGATCAATAGAATTAGTATCTGAGTGCAGATGAACTTAATAATTTTATTTAAAAGGCAGTGTCATTTGTCCTGAGTACTTTCTGAGTGCCATGGATGCATTAAAAACAGTGAGGTAATTTTCCAGTCCTCCCAATGCCAAAGAGTAATAGCAGATTCAAATTAAAAATAAGCAAATTACACTGATTTCAGGTATTCCAAGAGTGGCCTCACTTTTCTAATAAATTACATTTTCCGATAATGTAATGTGAACAAAATTAATTGACATGACAATTGCAGTGCTGATTAATATTGTCAGAGCTACATTGTTTCAATTCTAGCAAACTAACAAAATAACAAAAAAGGGAGCTTTCTTCCACTTTTTTCCACTTGCTTATGCATTTTACTTTTGCTAATCTAAATCAAGAGATGGAATTTTGAGCTTTTTTTGGTCCTTAAACTATTTGCATGCAGGAAAGCTTTAGTCATGTTGTACCTACTAAGCAATACACATCAAGGGTTAGGTCATATTTTGTCATCTGAAGCTTAGACTAAACATTTAGGCTTAGCTGATGTACATACAAGGAACCATCTCATTGTATAAGAAATTTTTAGAGCTGAGAAAAGTACATTTATGTACAGAATTGTGAGATTTTTTTGTTTGTGAGAGATTTTGTTTGTTTATTCAGAGCTGTAAAAAATAACAAAATATAAGATGAAAGCTGTATTGACACTAACGTAACATAGCTGAAAAAAATAGGGAGCTATCACAGTTTCATCAGTCTGGAATGTCTACTGTTGATAAAGATGCTATTTAGTTTTATGTAATTAAGATACTGCTTTTGGACCATGTTACTAACAGAAAATTTGTTTCACGGAAGTATTTGCTTTCCTTGTATTCATTGAATGGGATATAGGAGGTAAAACTAACTCCTTAAAAGATGATCAGCAAAGCAGGTCAGAAGCTCTTTTCACTGAGTGTTGGAAAAGCTGACAGCAGAAAATAATGCATTGGCTCCGAATTCAGATGAAAACTCCAAATTCTCAAATATGTCAGTACTGCATGAATTAAATCTTCCATCTTGATAATCTCAAAAGATTTGATTTTTAATGTCTGAAAAATTTTGATGATACTGAAGGGAAGTATTAATAAAAATGTGGAATATAAAATAAATGCACTAAATTAATATTGCAAAAGATGGACATTTATAGTGTCTGAACTAGAAATTCATACTTTATTCGTTTTGTCAAAACCAAAAAAGTCAAAGGCAGTTTTTCTAACAATCCAAATCCCCAATTTTTTTTTAATTACATAAGTTCCATGTCTACAAGATTGTAGTTTTCATGGCAAAATAATCTGTCAAAAATACAAAATACTTACAGCTACCTTGTATCATAATGAGCAGGACAAGTCAGACTTGACAGATCAGTGTTCCCTTTATTGGTGTATGTAGTCGATTGGAATCAGTTGTGATTAATGTGGAGATGAAAACATGGGAAGAATAAAGGAAATTGAGATTCAATGTAAAGCTGACATTTAGTGGGAAACACTATTCAGCAGATCCTCACTGATCAAAAGAAGATCTGTGTTAATCAAAACAATGTGAGAAATAAAAACTAAAACATTGACCTAGTAATAAACATTAAATGGATAGATTGGTGGGGAATAACCAATTATCTTAGTTATAGATGCAGAAGGATGAGTGAAGTTTCAGACTGCTGTGTTGTGTAGTAGCCTTTTCCATGAAACAGGAAGTTACTGTGTTTTCTTCCATATTTTGAATTTGTAAGAGTATAAAACATCAGCAAAAAGTAGAGGCTTTGGAGTAGTATTTTGAGATTACACTAGAAGGTTGTTAAATAGGCATTAAATAGTATTACAAGACATGGTGATGCAGCTCATTTTTTTCCTATTTCAAGAAGCCACTGATAGGGTGGTATATAAGTTGTTTTGATGTCTGTTTCCATCTCCAGTGTCTGCAATTCAACTAAATATTCCTCTTTTTCTCCAGTATCATCCAAACAATGGACTTGTTTCCTAAAATGGATGCTTACTTTCCATTAAAAAGTAAATAACAATGTAACGACTTAATCATGTGTAAATAAATTAAATTTTATTATTCAGTAGTTTCTACTTTGTATATATGAGAAGCAGTTCCTCCATACTTGTACATATATCTATTTCTACAGTAGAGTAAGGAAAGATCACAGTGTTACTGTAAAAAAAGACCTTATAAAATTGGTACAAGCAATGCCTCTATTTTAATTAGTTTTTTTACTCTAAGCATAAAAGTATACATGTGCTAGTCAAATAAAACTGTGAGGTTAAATTTTAGTTCTATTTTTTTTAATCTCTGTTCAACATACAAGTTTTCTGCTGAGTTTATTTGCAAGAGGAATTCATAATTATAATATTTTTTTTTAAATTACTGTTTTGTCAAATACCAGAAATAGACTGGGCTTGTTCCATGATGTACATCTGTTGTTTTTCATTTGGTTTGGTTTTTAATGTAGTGAAAAATTTGAAATTTTCTTTAGAACATGCACATTTGGTTGCTTTTGACATCTCAATCTGGTTATCTGAATATTCTGCTTGGTTTGCTTAATATGTCATTAAAAAATATTTCTTCTCATGAAGAAATAGACTAAGTCCATCTGGTAGTAGACTTGGAGTTACCACAGCTATTTAAAAAGTAGTCCAAAAAAGGAAAACCAAAAGAAAATTATTCTTTAGAGATAATAAAATGCCAAAGCCAAATTTACAACAGGCATCTCAGCTTATTCCACACAGGCTTCAGTTTGGTGTCTGAACCTGCAAATGCAAAATACTGATCTACATGTAAGAACCATCTAACTCACGAGTTGAAATGCAGTTTTGATTATTACCTGTTGATGTCTATTTGTATATCAAACCAAGAACAGGCAAAGCTACATGTAATACTACAGATGTAATTTTTTCATTGACCATGTTCTATACTTGAGAATGCTGATGCAGTTTTGTGTTGACCATCTGATGCAAAGGGAGTGAAGTTAGTGGTCTTTAGTTGTATATTTTCAACAAATAATCAAAATATTACTATATTGCTACTTGAAGGACAGAATGTAGGAACAGTACTTGACTGGCAAGTCATAAAAAGGGATTTTCATTTATTGCTTTTACTTTCTATTCCAGTAGTTTGGGAGATACTTTGTGAGACTAAGCCAAGTGCAGCTTTTAAGTCAAAATGATTTATTCATTTTAAGTCTCTTAGAAGGGGAGATAATAGAAAAAGGTCTGTCAGCAAAACTGAATCCAAAAGCCCGGCAAAATCAATTGCCTGTGTATTGATCTTCGTAGAACAGGGCATGCAGTCCTCTCCAGAAGTGCCAGGCAGAAGGGAATTTGCAGACTTCAGTGCTCAGTTTCTTTTTGTTTGCTGCCCTCTGCGGTTGAAGCTGTAAATTAAAGTGGACTTGGCTGCGTGGAGTTAGCTCTACATACTTAGTATCGGTCTCATTTTATTTGCAACTACTACAGGAGTGGAAATGAAAACTTAGGAACTAGATAAAATACATTATTTCTAGCTTTTTCTTTACCATCAGAAACACAAGTGATTTTAAGCTTGTGGCTAATTGCAAGAGTATTGGAAGTGGAAAAGGGAGGCAATTCCCATTCTCATTTTTGTCTCCTTGGCTGGCATTGGGGGAGCCCAGTTGATCTGTCGGTGTGTTCTGCCTCCCTGCAAGGAGGGACATGTTCCATCACTGTGTAGCTGTGGGGCTGCTTCTCTTTAGGGCACCTTGAGGCTCACAGGGTTATGTCAGTAGGTCAGAACTTCTAGGGGCAAGAACTCCACAAATCCAACCCTATTTAAATATTTTAAAATATATACATATTTATTTTATGTAAACACACTCA